ATTTCCACCTTTAATCTGACCTGTAAACTGTAAAGTCTGTACACTCCTGCCATCATTTAACGTGCCTCTGATTAACCCCAAATAAAGTTCAGCTGTTCTAGTAGGTCTTTCCTGACATTTTCTTAGTCGCATCTTACAGCAAAAGCCATGGTCCGCAGAGAGCTTCCAAAGCATCAGAGGGATCTCATTGTTGAAAGGTATCAGTCAGGAAAAGGGTACAAAAGAATTTCCAAGGTATTAGATATACCATGGAGCACAGTGAAGACAGTCATCATCAAGTGGGGAAAATATGGCACAACAGTGACATTACCAAGAACTGGACATCCCTCAAAAATTGATGAAAGGACGAGAAGAAAGGGAGGCTGCCAAGAGGACTACAGCAACATTAAAGTAGCTGCAGGAATATCTGGCAAGTACTGGCTGTGTGGTACATGTGACAACAATCTCCCGTATTCTTCATATGTCTGGGCTATGGGGTAGAGTGGCAAGACAGAAGCCTCTTCTTACAAAGAAAAACATTCCTGCTCGGCTAAATTTTGCAAAAACACATCTGAGGTCTCCCAAAAGCATGTGAGAAAATGTGTTATGGTCTGATGAAACCAAGGTTGAACCTTTTGGCCATAATTCCAAAGATATGTTTGGTGCAAAAACAACACTGCACATCACCAAAAAGAACACCATACCCCCAGTGAAGCATGGTGGTGGCAGCATCATGCTTTGGGGCTGTTTTTCTTCAGCTGGAACTGGGGCCTTAGTCAAGGTAGAGGGAATTATGAACAGTTCCAAATACCAGTCAATATTGGCACAAAACCTTCAGGCTTCTGCTAGAAAGCTGAACATGAAGAGGAACTTCATCTTTCAGCATGACAACGACCCAAAGTATACATCCAAATCAACAAAGGAATGGCTTCACCAGAAGAAGATGAAAGTTTTGTAATTATATATTATATAAAATTGTGTAGCGCTCGACTACTATTCCCCAGACCTGAATCCAATTGAAAATCTGTGGGGTGATCTGAAGAGGACTGTGCACAGGAGCTGCCCTCGTAATCTGACAGATTTGGAGTGTTTTCACAAAGAAGAGTGGGCAAATATTGCCAAATCAAGATGCTCCATGCTGATAGACTCATACCCAAAAAGACTGAGTGCTGTAAAAAAATCAAAAGGTGCTTCAACAAAGTATTAGTTTAAGGGTGTGCACACTTATGCAACCATATTATTTTAGTTTTTTATTTTTACTTCCCTCCACCTAAAAGATTTCACTTTGTTTTTCAACTGAGTTGTACAGTTTATAGCCCACATTAAAGTTGGAAAAAGTTCTGAAATGATTTATCTCTGTCTCATTTTTTTACATCACAGAAACCTGACATTTTAACAGGGGTGTGTAGACCAGGGTTTGAACTCTCCACTTGCCTGCTCGCCAATGGTGAGTGGAAATTATGGTGGGGGTGAGTGTGTCCCCCAAGGCCATCTTGCTAAGGAGGCTCGGAGCTCAGGCCGGATCTGTCATTGGCACTGGGAGCCGTCAGACTGCTCAATAGCTGAGCGCAGTGAAAGCAAAAGCAAGGAGTGTGTGCTATGCTCTCTGCCTCCCCCTACCGGGGAGAGCAGTACCGGGATCTGTGCGTGAACAACGAAGTACTGCAACATTTTATGAAGGGGGGGGTGTACTTCTACATGTGTGTGTGTTTGTGTGTGTCTGTGTATGCATGTACAATTGTACGTGTGTGTGTGTGTGTGTATGTACATGTGTGTATCTGTACGTGTGTCTGCGTGTCTGCGTGTATGTACATGTATGTGTACATGTGTCTGTGTGTGTGTGTGTACATGTGTGTGCATGTATATGTATAATAGTGCATATATATGTGTGTGTGTGCACATGTACGTACATGTGTCTGTGTGTACATGTGTCTGTGTATGTATGTACATGTGTCTGTGTGTATGTACATGTGTCTGTGCGTGTGTATTTCTGTGTATGTACATGTATCTGTGTGTATGCGTGTCTGTACGTGCCTGTGTGTGTATACATGTGTCTGTATGTGTGTGTGTGTGCGTACATGTGTCTCTGTGCGTGTGTGTACATGTTTCTGTGTGTGTATTTGTGTGTGTGTATGTACATGTCTGTGTGTGTACAGGTTTCTCTGTTTGTGTGTGTTTGTTGGTGGCGAGTAACTCTAAGGCCTGGCTAGTAGCTCAGGACTTGAAATTTAAAGCCCTGGTGTAGACTATTTATAACCACTGTATATATATATAATGTACAGTTGTGTTCAAAATAATAGCAGTCAGACATCACTAACCGGATCAATCACTGTTTTTTGGTAGAAATGATATTTCTACATGGCAAATAATTTACTAGCAGGTGTAGTAGAGTAATAGAAATCCAACAGACCCCAACAGTCATGACATGCATGCTGCTGATTCTGTGTAATTGAATCACTAATTCAGCGGTCGCGACCCCTTTGGGGGGTCGAACGACCATTTCACCGGGGTCGCCTAAGACCATCGGAAAACACATATTTCCGATGGTCTTAGGAACCGAGACACCGCTCCTCTATCTGTCTCAGGCGATGTGTGGGCGGGATGACACGCTGCCCCTGTCACCTGGCCACACCTCCGGGATAACTCAACAGCTCGCCTCCTCGCCGCTGATTGGCCACCGGAACTGTAGCTCAGGAGAGGCACACAGGCGGCCAATCACCGGCGAGGAGGTGGAGCTTGGAGAGGAGGAGCCGAGCGGCAGCGCGCGTAGATCAAAGAAGATCGAGGGAGCTGCCGGAGCAAGTGAAGAGCAGAGCGGCCAGAGAAGGAAGACAGCTGACAGGTAAGTGCAAATTTTGCTGCTGCAACCAGGAATGCAGGCTGTAGATGGGAGAGGGAGAGAGCGAGCGCCAGGCTGGAGCAGGAGTCAGCAAGGTAAGTATCATTGGTGTCAGTGGGAGGAATAGTGCCCCATCATTGCTGTCACTAATACCAACAATGGGGCACTATTTCTCCCCCACTGACACCAACGATGGGGCACTATTCCTCCCCCCACTGACACCAACGATGGAGCACTATTCCTCCCCCCACTGACACCAACGATGGGACACTATTCCTCCCCCCACTGACACCAACGATGGAGCACTATTCCTCCCCCCACTGACACCAACGATGGAGCACTATTTCCTCCCCCCACTGACACCAACGATGGGACACTATTCCTCCCCCCACTGACACCAACGATGGGGACACTATTCCTCCCCCCACCGACACCAACGATGGGGCACTATTCCTCCCCCCACCGACACCAACGATGGGGCACTATTCCTCCTCCCACCGACACCAACGATGGGACACTATTTCCCCCCCCCCCACTGACACCAATGATGGAGCACTATTCCCCCACCTGACCCCAATGATGGGGCACTATTCCCCCCTCCACCACACTGACATCAATGATGGGGGGCACTATTCCTCCCACTGACACCAATGATGGGGCACACTATTCCTCCCACTGACACCAATGATGGGACACTTTTCCTCCCACTGACACCAATGATGGGGCACTATTCCTCCCACTGACACCAATGATGGGGCACTATTCCTCCCACTGACACCAATGATGGGACACTATTCCTCCCACTGACACCAATGATGGGGCACTATTCCCCCCACTGACACCAATGATGGGGCACTATTCCCCCCACTGACACCAATGATGGGGCACTATTCCCCCACTGACACCAATGATGGGGCACTATTTCTCCCACGACACCAATGATGGGACACTATTCTTCCCACTGACACCAATGATGGGACACCATTCCTCCCACTGACACCAATGATGGGGCACTATTCCTCCCACCGATACCAACGATGGGACACTATTCATCCCACTGACATCAGTAATGGGGCACTACTCCTTCCACTGACACCAATGATGTGGCACTAGTCCTCCCACTGCAAAATTACAGTTATGAAGTAGCAACGAAAATAATTTTATGGTTGGGGGTCACCACAACATGAGGAACTGTATTAAGGGGTCGCGGCATTAGGAAGGTTGAGAACCACTGCACTAATTGAAAGGGGCATATTCAAAATAATAGCAGCGTGGAGTTCTATTGGTGAGGTCATTCATTCTTTGAAAAACAGGTGGCAATTATTGCCCTTATTTAAGGAAGGAAGGCAGCAAATGTTGTACATGCTGGTTACAGTGCATTTCTCTCTGAAATTCTGAGGAAAATGGGTCGTTCCAGACATTGTTCAGAAGAACAGCGTACCTTGATTAAAAATGTTGATTGGAGAGGGGAAAACATATAAAGAAGTGCAGAAAATGATAGGCTGCTCAGCTAAAATGATTGCAAATGCTTTAAAATGGCAACCAAAACCTGAAAGATGTGGAAGAATGCGAAAAAAACTACCATTCGAATGGATAGAATAGCCAAAATGGCAAGGACTCAGCCAACAATCAGCTCCAGGAAGATCAAAGAAGGTGTAAAATTACCTGTGAGTACTGTTACAATTAGAAGACGCCTATGTGAAGCCAAGCTATCTGCAAGAAGCCCCCGCAAAGTCCCACTGTTGAAAAAAAGACATGTGCTGAAGAGGTTACAATTTGCCAAAGAGCACATTGACTGGCCTAAAGAGAAATGGCGCAACATTTTGTGGACTGATGAAAGTAAGATTGTTCTTTTTGGGTCTAGTGGCCGGAGACCGTTTGTCAGACGACCCCCAAACACTGAATTCAAGCCACAGTACACTGTGAAGACAGTGAAGCATGGTTGTGCAAGCATCATGATATGGGGATGTTTCTCATACTACGGTGTTCGGCCTATTTATCGCATATCAGGGATCATGGATCAGTTTGAATACATCAGAATACTTGAAGAGGTCATGCTGCCTTATGCTGAAGAGGAAATGCCCTTGAAATGGGTGTTCCAACAAGACAACGACCCCAAACACACCAGTAAACGTACAACATCTTGGTTCCAGACCAACAAGATTGACCAGCCCAATCCCCGGATCTTAATCTAATAGAAAACTTGTGGGGTGACATCAAAAATGCAGTTTCTGAGGCAAAACCAAGAAATAGAGAAGAACTGTGGAATGTAGTCCAATCATCCTGGGCTGGAATACCTGTTCACAAGTGCCAGAAGTTGGTTGACTCCATGCAACACAGATGTACAGCAGTTCTCAGAAACAGTGCTTATACAACTAAATATTAATTAAGTGATTCAAAGGAAAGCAAAATCTTCAAACATTTTTCAGTTTATATAGTGAATGTTTGAGTTTTGTAAAGAAGAATACAAACACTGCTATTTTTTTGAACAGTCTAAAATTCACTTTTCTTCATTTTTTTTAGAGGAACAACACAAATTTGATATTTTTCTTCATGTTTTGATTTGGAATAGAATGTGTAGTGTTCCCACACACTATTTTTTTTTGATCTGGAATGTCATGTTAAGTCCTAGCTACTCCTAGTTGTTCTTTATGTTTACGTAGAGCTGCACCCTGGAAAATAGCTCTAAGGCAGAAGTGCGTTGCTGTCTTTAGTGGGAAATGCAATAGGAAATCACAGTAGTTCTACCAGCAAGTGATTGCACTAGTGGCAGGTCCCATAACAAGGTCCATCTGCAGTTTACTGCCTAAAAACAGTATAATTAAATTATTTTACATGAACAAATGACTTCAACCATATGTAATAAAAGCTGTTTATACCACTATGCCACAGCTAGTTCACAACTCAGCCATCCAACAAGGTCTGTCTTTCTGTGCTATTCATCCACTTTTCCTGTGAAGCTGAACAGGCAGATATTGAAAACAAAAATTTATGTAGCAATGTATTGTTTAAAAAAACATAAATGTATTTTAAAGCACTGTAAATTTAACTGGTATAATTAACTGAATTTGATTTGGTATAAGCTTCTTGTAATTCCCTGTACAGTCCCACTAAGAATAGGAGAGGGTGGAACAGCACTTGGGACCAATCAGGTAACCTGCATGAACAGTGAACGTGTTGGCAGGAGGACCAAAAAAAGATTATCTGTGTCCAGTCTAGTTAAAGAAAAGTGCAACATCCCTTAAATGTTAAGAATCAAACAATTTTGCAAATAATTGGGATTTTTAAGGCACCAAACATAAAAGCAAAAACGTTGTGTAAAAGCATCAATGTTTATTAAATACATTAAAAAACACAATAACAATATTAATACCGACATTATGCTGGTTGATCAACGGTCATATACTTTCACATGGTTTAACCATCATAACATATGTATATATGGTAAAATAATGATGCACCAACAATATACATAGACCCCAACGTGTCTGAAATATAAATATACCTATATCATGCATTTAGCAGTACATATAACAAAAGCTATATATTTTTACAATGATGTTTTCTGACAATACGCTTACATAACCATTAACCGCTAGAGAGTCTGTGTGTCCAAGAATAAAATCCCCCACGGCCTGTACTGTTAGAGCACAAGGGGTGCTATGGAGTTTCCCACTATGGCAGAAAAAACATTAAAAATATAAACCAAGTAAACAAAATAAAAAAAAAAAAAAAAAAACAGAAAAAGAACAGAAAAAAATAATGCCACACAAGGTGTTGCAGATATGACATGACAGGGCCCAAGGGCACCAAAGTGTCCAATCTATAGACCTAAAGAGAAATAAATAAAATAAAATGAGAAAAAAAATCATAGCCACTTACATTTGCTTGGCCACAGGGGAGAACAGAAAACACTAGGCTCTTAAATAAAAAAAAATAGCTCTTCCAAGGACTCCCCACAGATAACAGTATATCAAATCCGCCCTGTCATAGATTAAACAAAATTTATATCAAAATACTCAAACACAGGGATAGGTTTCACAGCTCCATAAAGAGTTAAAAAAAACATCTTTGCCTAATATGTGTAATGAGAACCCCCCATACAGAGGATGAGCCCACTCAGGATCGCCCCCGATGGAGTCTCAGATTTTAAAAGATATAGTGTGTAAATTTCCAAATTCCTTAAAAAGACAATTCAGATAACTACACCAGCTAGTTCCCGCAGAAAACATAACCAAATAGTTCAAGATCAAATCCTAAGGCTTACCTAAATATATATTATTATCAGGGGCAGACTCACCATTTGGAAACTCTGGCACTGCCCGAGGGCCCAGGGTCAGTAGGGGGCCCCATGAAATGCCCCTGGTACCTTTTTCATAGGCTTTTTTGAGTTTGGGCAAGGACACAGGGGCCCCATGATCCCCTATTGCCCGGGGGCCCCATGAGTTGTCAGTCCGCCCCTGATTATTATGGAGAGTTTCAAAATGCCCGTACAACCAAAAAAGCTCAATTGGTCTCAGCCTCACTACCTGACTGGGAAAATTTGTTCTATCCTTGAATAGAAATATCGGTGCTAAGGACTCATGTGAGAACTAGCATCAAATGGTAGAGATTTAAAGGACACCGCCACTCGCTTTATTCTTTCTTAAGGGCTGTTTTTGCCCAATTTATTTAAAAGAAAGTTCCATAAATCATAGCTTTCCCTCAGAGGGGTTTTCAACATTTCACTCTTGCAAACAAATAGACATTCAGCCTCCTGGCTTATACATGCAACACTACTGCTTTGGTGTTCCACTTCAGGCTCTCGTCTGTCTCCTAGAGACTTGTTTCTCACCAGCACTGTCCCAAATTGCTAGCAGCCCCTTACTGCTCTTGCTCCCACCTCTCCTAGGTGGCGCTCTCCTTACTCCTGAGCAAAGACCTCCTGTCTGCTGGGGTGGGTTCCAGAAACATGGCCAGGTCTCTGCAAAAAGGTCTGCACACACTTGTGTAATCAGTGTGCTGGCTGTTCACAAACCCAGGACCTAGGACTGGAGATTTCATCCCACCTGGATCTCTTAGAAATTTCCAGGCTCCAGGTTCCAACATGAACTTTGGAAAACAATGAGGAAACTGAAAAGCCAGTTTCCTCTTCATTAGGCAAACCCCCTGGAGCCCCTCAACCTGCCTGGTTCAGAATCCTAGGTTATAATCCTCATTTAGACCCTGACAGGGTACCGCACTGCCACACTCAACAATGGATTTGTATTATTACTTGTATTATACAGAGTAATGTGTGGTCTTGTGGGGTTATCCATCCAGTCTCATCAAGGGCCAGCATAAAAAAACAATGCTCTCAGGAGTGCATTTATGTGAGTACCAATTGATCAGGTGCCCAATCATGTGTTACCATTATCCAATGAGCGCTAGGCATTTTCATGCCAAAAAATGAATTAAATAAATACTTCTGCCCAGGGGAATGGTAGGAAACCACCTCCTGTCTCCTAGCTGAGCCTTCCATCATCTTCTGCTTCCAGTCACATCACTTTCAGCGTCAGAACAAAAAGATGACCTTATCTGCCTGTTGCTGCTCCTTTACTATCCAATCACAGACTGGGGAGGTGACCAAGCTCTGTTGCTTAATTCTAGAGTCAAGAGTCAGGTCACATTGCTTGCTTTTTTTTCTGGCAGGGCTGTATAACGTTCAGGACTGGATGGACAGAAATATAAATTCTTTGGTAGATAAAGGGGCTCCTAACTGTGTATTTCAGCTATGTAATTAGCTGTATGCCTGCAGTTTAGATTTAAAGGAAATGTATAGTTGTTTCAGATATTATTTTAGATATGCATGTAAAAGAGACATAATATAAATACATTTTACAACATGATAAAACCTAGTTTCTATGTATAGTTTAGAATTAAACATGAATATGTGTACAGCTGATTACAAACTCAAGATTTGTTTCCTATTATGCAGTGCAACATGGTAGTTGTGCTTTATTGCCCCTTCACACAATACAGGTCAATGAATCAGCTGTCTCATTACAAAATTATGCGTCCCATGTGTGGCTAATATGTGATACCAAGGTGTCATAGTGGCTCACTAAAACACACTATACTATACTTTATATTTAGTAACATTGTCGAGATAAGTTGACATCATTTACCAGTCAAACAGGTAGGTAAACCAACAAACCCATGCTCTACGTATATCATAGCAGAGCCCCTTCATCAGGAGCTGCTAGGCTGTGCAGTGTAAGGGAGGGAATTCAGTAGTTCAGGAAATTCCAACAACAGCAAATATA